AAAAAATATTAGAAATGAACATTCATACATGTAATTACGTGATTTAGTGAAAGTTCATGTATATGATATATGTACACTACGTGTTATCCAGATTATCCCATAAGTTTTGTCTTTTTTGAAAAAACTATCCCGTAAGTTTTTAATACTATATTTTGGATTTTAATTTATTATATCCTATTAAAATTACAATATGTAATTACATATGTAGTTATTGAAATATTTATGAAAAAAATTTATATGAAATTATTTTAAATTTATTAAACTGTTTTGTACCTACAACATTAAGTAATATTGATATAATAATAACAAAATAACCTGATTGTATACTACCACTTATAAACACCATAATAAGCGATTATATATATATAGTTATAAATTACAATTTTATGAAGTTAAATAGTTCTTAAGGGCAAATCAAAATATTTTATATTCAATTAATTTATAAATTAAACTTTTAGCAATTTTCAATTAAGCAAAAATAATATAAGAAATTTAAATTTCATATAAATTATAATAAATTTGTACAGTATTCTGGACCGCTTTTTATCCGCTTTTACCATTCACATATATTTTAGACCGCTAGACCCGCTTTTGTACCGCTTGATCCGCTAGTTCCGCTTTTGATCCACTAAATCCGCTTGATCCGCAACGCTTGTTACACTTTCTCCATTCGGACTGCGAACGACTTGTTAAACCTTGACACGAAGTCAAGATAAATCTATAGTTTTAAAGTAATCAAAATTTAATTGATATAATTTATCATATGTGTATATATATATATATTTATATTTATGGATGAATATGAAATATCATATGAAAATTATATTACATGTATTTTTGGAAAATACTTATATTTTCTAACTGACAAATATTAATCTACAACTGATTGATATGTGTAAATATATATATATTTTTAAATCTTTTTGTTCTGAAAAAAAGTTATCTTAATATATTCTGAAATATATTTATCTTAATATGTGTAATATATAAATTTTGATATGACAATATATAATAGAAAATCATAAAGTTTCGTTGAAAGGATAATTCTTTTGCTTTTGTAAAAATTGTAACTTATTGTTATGGATAGTTTTTTTTTTTGCAACCGTTTGCTATATCTAATGTTCGAAGAAATAAACTTTTGATTTATAACAGTTTAAAACGTTATAATTAATTATAAGGAACTGTTTTATGATTGTTGTCAAATGTGTCTTTCATACCAATCCACAGATATAGTATTTGCAGACGATTACCGGAGGACCAATCAAACTCTTAGTAGATAAATGTGTCAAAAGAACATTTCCTTCATAAATTTCATTTTAATAGAATTTATGTCGTTTTTAGCTGTTATTTGGACATAAAATCTATTTTAATTCCATCACGGGAGAAGGAATTGTCAACTCCGTTGCCACACTAGCTCTAATTCCTACTGAGTCTGGTGTTTTCATTTGTTTATGAAGATGTCCGGCGTCACTAACTCTAATTTATATTGGGAAAATAGTTATATTTTTTTACTGACAAATATTAATCTACAATTGGAATATACTTTATGTTAATATGTGGAAGATTACAGGAGGACCAATCAAACTCTTAGTAGACAAATGTGTCAAAAGAACATTTCTGTCATAAATTTCATTTTA